GCTCAGTGGACTGAGGGCCAGCCTGAGAACCAAAGGGTCGCCAGTCGGATTCCCAGTCAGGGCACATGCCTGTGTTACAGGCCAGGTCCCCTGTCGGGGGTGTGCTAGAGGCAACCACACATTGATGTTTCTCTCCTTCTCTTTCTCCCTCCTTTCCCCTTTCTATAAATAAATAATAAAATCTTTAAATAAATAAAGTCAAGTATATTAACATGAAGCAAATGCTTGATACTTATTCAGAAATTGTATTTCAAGCTTTTTAAATAAATTTTTTAATGTTATATTCTGGTAACTTTGGACAGCTGAAGTAAGGTAAATCAGATGCAGATTTAGAAGTCACCTAAAGCTCACCAGTTCGACTTATGCTTTTTGAAATTTCAAAGACTTAGCTAGCAGAAAAGGCAACATTTTCAAGCAAAGTTAGGAGAATCATGTTAATGGTAATGATACTCACTTTTGCTGTGCCTCAAAGTGAAATGTCTAGACCAAGGTCTATCTAACTAATCATATACATCAAGAGAGACAAATAAAACTAGCCCTCAATATAAACTAACAATCAACACAGAGTTAGCAGAAAGGCTAAAAGAATTGTTAAGTATGGATGTTATATGTACCACAAATATAAAATAACAAAGAATATGAAAGTATTTAAATGTGAACACAATTCTAGAGAATTCCAAAGGATTCTATTATGTTCACTCACTTAAGAAGAACATGTAAGTCAATGTTTTGAGGAAAACATCTTCCTTATGCTAAAAGCATCATTCACTGATTTACAAATTCCTACATTTGAAAAATTAAATGTTGCCTGACTAAAGTTCGCAACTGATTTAAATAGCTAAATACTGGAGAAAACAAGGACATTTTGTTCTTCTTCAACAGATCAGGAAACACAGTGGTAAAAACTTACCTACAAACTAGTTAAGGAGTAAAGATTTTGGGACTGTTTCCAAACTACGAAAGGGGATCTCCAGGGGTGGGCATGAGCAAGCCGATTTTGAAAAAGTTCCACAGACTTTTCAGTTGTAAAAACAGACTGATGATTAATGATTACTACAGCAGCCAATCTCATCTCTGCCCTGGCTTTCATTACCATCTACCCTTTCTCCCTAAACCACTGCCAATGCCCACTGTTACTACTCCTGACACTGCTGTAGAACCTACTCTTTACACCAGCCAGAGTAACCTTTACAATAATGTATATTACATCATCTCATGGCCCACTGCACTTACATAAATTTCTTACCCTGGGATATAAAGCCCTGCATTATCTGATTCCTGCCTCTCTCTTTTATCACAACTTGTGCCATTCTTATCCTTAACTACTACACTCCTGCAACACTGGCCCATTTTTTCCCTTCTAACACACCAGCATCTTTCCCATCTTAAGGTCTTTACACTGGCAGCTCCTTCCATCTAGAAGGTCCTCCCTCTGACCACTACTTGGTTTGTTGTTCCTCAACATTTACATCTCAGTTTAATGTTCTTCTTCAAGGAAGTCTTTCTCCAATCAGCCTTGAATCATTAACTATCTCGAAACCCTTTTAATATTTTCTGTACAGTGCACACCACTTTTTGCAACTAACATACTCTTACCTTTTTTTAAACAATGCGTGTCTCCCTCCCATTAGAGTAAACTTTCTATGAGATCATGTCTGCTTGTTTACTGCCACATCTCCACCAGCACCTCTGCTGTAAGTGCACTAAAAGATAACTCCCAAGCCAATGTACTTTGGTATTATAAAGAAAAACATTTTAAAAATAATCTTGTTTTAAAATTAGGTGGTGTCCTGACTGGCTTAGACATCATCTTGCAAACCCAAGGGCTGCAGGTTCAATTCCTGTTAGGGCACATGCCTGGGTTGTGGGCCAGGTTCCCAGGGGGCGGGGGGGCTGGCATGTGAGAAGTAACTGATCAATGTCTCTCTTACATATCAATGTTTCTCTCCTTCTTTCTCCTTCTCTTCCTATCTCTCTATAAACAAATAAAGAAAGAAATGAAGAAATGAAAGAAGAAAGAAATCAATCTTAAAAAAATAACTGGCAAAATGAAAATCCAAATGCCTACTTGATTGACATCTTCACTTGGATATCTTAAAGGGAACAGGAAATATTCCCTAATAGAATTTATGATCTCTTTACCTCCTAAAAAATGTGGGCCTATCTTTTTGTGTTTCTGACCTAAGTGAACAGCAACACCCTAGCAGTAGCATAAATAAGATATTTGGGAGCCATCCTTGATAATTTCTTCTCCAAGTCCTATCATAAATTTGTCTTTTAAATATACTGAATATATCCACTCTGTCCCTCTCTTCTACCATCACTTCCCCATCCACTTTCTAAATTACCATTTCTCACCTGAATTACCCAACTAATCTCTTCACTTCTCTGGCATCCCCCCTCTCATTTGCTCCACTGCAGCTCAGTGATCTGTTCAAATACGACCTAATTTATCACTTGCCTATTTAACATTCTTTAAATAGTCTGTTCTAGATCCTCTAGTATCATTTCTCACCACTCCCCCATCCATTCTTCCATTGATTCATTCAACAATATATACATTGAATACCCACTGACAGACTGATATAAAATGGACAAAGATGCTGATCTCATGAATCTTATAATCTAATAGAGGAAGTTATCACCAACAAATACTAAGTCACAGTCACACAGTAATAAGTACTAAGATGAAGAAAAACACAGTGTAAGTTCATAGAACAATTGTTCACCATAGGGGCACAATGAAAAATTGGCCCCAATGAAAACGTGGCCACGTTTTTGGATTGTTCCAATAATGAGAAGATGAAATTGGGGGATTTAGTTGGCGAACTCCAGGGATGCTGACTGTCCTGCAGTAGAGGCCAGTCCCACACACAAAGTACTGTTCTCATCCACAACACTTTCACACATCCATGTAGGTGAAAAACCTGCTTGTAATTATCTACCTCCTAATTCCATTTCATATACAAACATAAAGGAGTTTTATACGATTCTAATACATAGGTTTCCCAGGAATGGAATTACCTTATAAAGTAAAGATGACTGTATACTGTGTTTAGTTTACAACTTTACTAAGAATTGATCACCATTTGAAAAATCAATTCACTCAGTAATGCAACTTAGTCAGAAATACAAAATGACTGTGTACGTTCCCATTTGCAGTGCTACCTTAATGATACTATGTGTATAAGCATCTAACTATTTCATTATGTCTTTACTAATAAAAACTGTGCCTGGGTATATACATTATTAAATATATATTAATTTGTTATAAATTACTTTCATTTCATGTCTTTCTCATTAACCTGAGGGTATTTAATTATGTATGTTGGAAAGTCATATGCAGTAATTCATTCATTTAAAAAATATTTACTGAGCACCTACTTATGTTCAAATCATTATTCTAAGCATTTCAGATACACTAGTGAAAAAAAAAATCCTGACTAACATAACTGTAATAAATAAGTCAAATTTTTAGTTTGTTAGAAGAGAAAGCAGAGCCAGGTAATGTGGGTTGGGAATGCTGAATGGGTTGAGCACATAGGATGCAAAATTAAACAGGGTGGTCAGTAGGCCTCACTGGGAAGGTGAAAGCTGAGCAAAGCCATAAGGTAAGCGAGACAGTCAAGTGCAAAAAGGGGTAAAGCTTTAAGCTCGGCACTCATATGGCATTTCTGAGGAACAGTAAGGAGACCATTGCATCCACACCACCTCCTAAATACTTCTTACATCTCTATATTGTAGTAACTTCTTTTTAAGTCTGTTCAAAGACTAGACTGTAAGCTTCACTAAGTCAGAGGCCATATTTTCTCTTTTTAATATCATCAATACTGCACAGAGTGCCAGATACACAGTAGACACCCATTAAGCATTTGCTGTATGAAGAAAATAAGTGATGAATGAACCAGAAAAGTTTTCTGAGGCAACTGATAACCAAACCTCAAAAAAAATATTAGAACTAGAAATCAGAAAAGAATTAAATGACTGAAATGACAATGTAATTAAACCAAAAGAAAAGTCAGTAAACTCAAATCTAGACAAAATCCCAAAGGTAAAAAATATTAGGCCATAATTGTTAAAGTAACAAGATGAATTTAAATATAATAAAATCTCGTAAGTAACTTACTCATTCTGTCTCTTAATAAAATGTACTATGCAATATAATCTATCTATAAGATCAGACCCAGATTTCTTCCTAAAATGTTTTATCTACTTTAGACTAAATATTCTTGTACTAAAACATATGCATAAAGCTTTTTTAACACAGTGGTAAAGTTGATTTTAACAAATCACAGACTTAAATGCTGACAGACAATTTAGAGACCAACTACTCCAATTCTCTCATTTTAGGGATGACAAGTTGAGGACGAGAGAATTCAAAGGATCTGTCCAAGATCACAGCAAGTTAGTGATATACCTGCTAGGTTTAACATTCTGTTTATGAGTAGATACCAAAATAACTTACAGGACTTTTTAAATACTAAAGAAGTACTATCACTACCATACTACTTCAAGGAAAATGACAGAATCACTGTCTACTATATTCCTGGGCCAGGTAAAAATAAAATCATTTTAAAATTCAATATTTAAAGTAAGAAACTGAAATTCTACTTAAGAAAAAAACTATATGGCCAAAAATAGAATTAAGTAATAAAATAAACCAAAAATTTGCTCTGGTTATTTCTGCTTAACAGTAAGTACTGGCATTAGTACCCTGTTGTCCCTAAAACTAACATACTCCCCCAAATAGTATCTAAAGTCCATATCTATTTATTATTAAGTAGTATCATTAACCAAATAAAATGAAGATGGAGGAAATTTCTAGTAATAGAACAGGGATAATTTTTATAATCAATATTCTTATGATTACAAACTATATTTTGCACATTTAAAGATAAAGAATTATGTCCATTGTATATTTCACCATATTAAGTCTTGAATCACTAATCTGAAATTAAAGAAATCTTAGAGCATTAAAACCCCACACCTGAAAGACTTACCATTTTATCTAGATGTTCAATGGATCTATAAATCTCCCCCTGGGATTCATCATAGTAACTGTAACGGAACCTCTGACCTTGAAACAAATATCATGTACAAAATAAAATAGGGAAAAATTAGAAGCTAAAAAGAAAGCAAGCGCTTACCAAATAACTTCAGTTCCCAAGGAAGGCAAAGCACAGCTTAAGCCTCTGAGAGAATCATTCCCAAAAGCCCTTGTATATAAAAATAAAAGGCATATTTGGGAAGATAATAAAGAAATGATATATCACCAGTGTTTTATGATGTTAAAACTATTTCAAATTATAAAACTTTATAGACACAAGCAATACAAAAGACTAAAGAAACAAAAACAGCTTAAAAGTTAGAAGCATTGTTAAATATATCAGTCTACAATGAAAAGTAAACCCAAAGAATATGATGCAAGAAAATTTGGTTTAAGGGAACTGTCTCAGTGTAACAAGTCAACGAAAGCTTAGCTTTTGCTTACAAACGCAAAGATTTGATCTCTATTATAGAAAAAAATGTGTAGATCAGAGATATATGTGGTTTCTGTGATTTTCATGACTTCAAAAAATTTCATCTCATTTTCGCAAAACTTTCTACTTGGAGCAATATCAATACAAGTGCCTTAACAGGATTCACAAAAGAATACAATAAACAGTCCTACTCTGACAATAAAATCTCAGTGAGGGTACAAGCACAGAACATTCAATATCTAGCTGTTCTCCAAACAGAGGGTAAACTAGAAGAGGCCCAAAAAGAAGACAGAAAACAAAATACTGAGGAAATAAATTTTTCTTCATATTGAAGTCATAGAAAAAACAAAAGAAACATATTATAGACCTATATAACTAATTGTGGATTGTTATTATACCAATTATGGTGCATCTAAACCTTTTTTCCAGCAACATCTTTATTTCCAAGAACTCACTACTTTTATATTTCCTTATTTGAAAAGATTCACCAAAATGCATTTCTAAAGGTATTACAGCACACCAGTCATGCTGTGTGCACACACTGTGTCTTGCGGTTACATTTTTAGAGTAAGCTCACATATTCAATTATTATCCTCACACTTTGCTAAAAAATACCATCTTATAAATAACGAGCAGTGCAAAGTTATAAAGCCCTTTTGATGTCTTTTTGGAAAAACCAGACATCACAGTTCTTAAAACTTCAGTTACCTGCTGATGCTGGTTATCTTTGATGGTCACCTTTCTACAATATACATATTTCCTTAACTGTCACATTTTAAATTTTCATATACATTACTATGTAGCACTACTCAATGTGGCAGTTCTTATTTCCCCCCAAGAGCCATTATTAAATCAATATTGAATCTTACAGGGTATCCTAGAATCAAGCAAGATGTTCTGAGACAATTATCTGCATTCTAAATATAAAAACCTCTTCTGCAAACACTGAGACCCAGTATAGTCCTTGCACTAAAATAATTCTTAAGCAGTGACAGTTCAGCACTCAATGTCCCTATATTAAATAATTCATTAGACATTTTCTTTCAAAATTTAAGATTAAGTATAGATTTGTTTGTCTTTAAAGGATATATGTACTTCCTTCTACTTAGTAATAGAAAAATATACAAGTCACCCCATTTTTCCTATTTGCCAGGTAACTGTCAGTAGGCTCAAAGACAAATCTGAAGTCTGTCACAATAATTCATTGATTCAAACAGTCATTAACTTTTACTTCAATTTCTAATTCTTTTGATAAAGCTGCCCAAAATGTTTGAAGGAACAATTGCATGAATAATCTTAGACGAGGAAATTCTGACTCAATGTCACTGAAGTAAGAGTAATATCCTTGTAAGAAATCAAAATGAACATTCTTTGAACCTGACCTGCTTCAGGTATATACTAACGCATTTTTTGCTCTTTCTTCTGGAGATAGCTGTTACTTTTAACTGTCAATAATCCCTGTGACCAGGAAATAACTGTCTTTTCTGAAAACTACTCTTGGGCGCAAAGAAAAATACTTGTACTTTGTGATCACCATTTGCAACTCAAAAGTCTGTTTTGTTTATCTCCAATTTCAGAACTACTACTGTTTCAAAGAGTTGAAGGTGGCCAAACCTGCCTTCATCCTAAGTGAAATGGGTAACTATATTTTAAAATGTTGTCTTGCTCATATGGATCATTTTAGAGTAAGCTGCACTTAAAAACTACTTCTGAAGTAAAAGTACATAGAATGTTTGAAACCTAAAAATGCTAAATCAACATGTAACTTAAGACAAAATACACAGCAAATCAATGAGTCAATAGTTCAGAGAACTGAGTAGAAATATTTGATGAGCTCTAAAGAATCTATCTGTTAAGAAGCTAAATTCACACTACGTATAGCTACTACACTGAAAAAAAAATCTAATTTATACCAGCTCAAACTGTCTCAAAATTTTTAAAAATTGCACAGATATTTTAAAATTATTCCAGTAATTTATTCTGGTCAACACACATACAGAAAGCATCTAATTTAAAACGAATAACTGCCATCATCGCAGCCTGTGGGTGTGTGTGCACGCACTAATATGCACTCGATTTTAGATTTGAATTTGAGTTCAAAAGATCTTGTTTCTAATTACTAAAAAAATAAGTTTACCAAGATTTTACTTAATAAGAAATAAAAGAAATGGCAATAATATCACAATGCTCTAATCATAAATGTACCTTTAAATATTTATTGCTAATTTATAATATATTACCATTTCATGTACCTCATGTGCAGACATAGTTTGTTTTACAATAAATATTTCTAACATTCACTAAAGCTTACCCACCTACACTGAACAAAAAATACAGTTGCCTATGCACCTGGAGAACTGGACTTGTGTACTTTTACAAGTATGAATAAAGCATATCACATAGTAAGAGAAAATTACTTACCTGAAACTTATCCTTTCAGAAGGTACACTGGGAAAATGGATTCTCTGAGCCCCTGTTTCAACTCCAAGTATGAGCTTTCTAGCTTTAAGAGCCATTGAGGCTGCCCCTAGGGGCAGCACAAGCTTTGAACTCCCCTAGTGAGTATGTCAGTAGTTTCTTCAGGTGCCTTCCCTCAGTTCTTTTCAAATTCAAATGATGAGAGAAAAAATAACCCAAGAAAAAAAATCCTGTAAAGTAGAAACCTTACTCTTTGAGGGAAGGAGGGTAGCTCATTTGTGAATCCATTCCAGAGCACGCTTTCTGAGAAAAAGAAATACAGGTAAGTAATTTTCCCATCTCCAAAGGTGACTGGTGATTAATGAGTGGATTCACAGAGTGTGGAGAATAAGCTCCAGGGATGTCTGTTTCACACACAACTAATGAGGACAAACATAACAATGAATGGCACAAGAACCAACACTACTTTTTAAGTACCCCGAACAAAAAGTAAAAGAATACATACACTAAATACCTCAACATTAAGCTATACACTGGATTGCGGAATTCAACGAGGAGCTTGGAAAACTAATCTAGAAAGCCCTCAAAAGATCAGTCAATAAGGCAGACTTTCAGACATTTGTCCAGTAAAAATTGCACTGTTATACATTCACTTAATCACTTTATGTTTATATGTTAAGACATTTTAAAATATTTTAGTAAAACTTAGAACCTATGAGGTAGATTGCTAAATAATTAAAACTGGGGACAGTCATAATTGAAATCACTATCAAAGAAAAATATATATTTCACAAAGGAAATATATTCTGAGCAGCATCAAATAAGGTAATCATTTTTATAAGCAAAATACTATAGCCCTTTCCTTCTGAAATCTTAGTTATAATGTAAAAGTACTAGCCTTCTCTCAAACTTTCAAAAGATCAAAAACCTAAATATGTGAAATCATTATGTATAAATATCAAAGCTAGGGTAAGATATATTTCAGGAATTAGCTAACTTATTCCTTAACCAAACTAAATATTTACAAAGTAGTAATACCCTCTCTATCCCAAGAGACTAACAAGAGAATGGAAGAAGAGTATGCATGAGTAATCACTTTTTAATACATGTTAAAATAGAAATCTGGATAAAGATATAAATATTTAGGAGGATAGTTTTTAATAGGTGGCACATATTTATGAAAAATAAATTATGTAAACCTAGACAAATATAAGTTCCTAGGTAAAAATTCAAAATTGCTAAAGTGACATAAGTAAATTTTATTCTTATTTTTTTAAAATAATGTAATTTATCATTGATATTTACCAAGTAAATTTACTGAAATTGACTTGTACTTAAAACCACCATAAAAGGAAAATTAAATGAAAGCATGAATCCACTTTTAAATAATCAGTTTCTGTTAGATCCAGTTTCACTTAGTAACTTCTTTAAAGCTAACTGAAAATTGTCACTGAAAGCTGTTAATAGTCTAAATTTGGAAACATAAATTTCAGGGAGCTCAGGAAAACACAAATACTAACAGTATATATGAAAAAGAACAAAATGAAACTTAGGAAAATAAAATAAAAATCCCACGAATTACAAAAACTGAAATAGGCCCAGAAAAAATTCTCTTATTATAGAGCCATCCTATAGAATGTAGAACTTGGTCAAGTATACAAATTATGGGGACAACCTTATTTAACCAGGATAAAACTCAAATATTAGCAGCAAATGTCCTTTCTGTTATGTCACTCTTCCTGATAGTAACAGGAAAGATGAAAAGAAGTGGGATCGTTATAAGTGTTAGCGGAGAAACATCATCCTGTTCAGCTAATAAGATAAAAGGCAAGAATTAAAGTGCAGAGTTTTTGCAAGTGAATTCAAATGAGGGGATAGTAAGAAGAGGAATACAAAATCTAGGTTCCCAACTTTCCCTTAGCTCCCCTCACCCAAGAAGAAAATGAGACTTTCTACTTTGCATCTCTCTAATACCTGCTTCAAGTCTGAATAAAGTTAAATGGGATCTGAAAGATGAACACCTTTAAAGCAAGATACACTTTAAAAGAAAAAAGGAAGTCATTCATGTAAATGGACACTGGCTAACAAAGTCAATAAGGCAAAATTCTTCCAGCTACATCTAGGTCCCCCAACTGTCTCTATCACCAAGTTTCTCACTTTGTGTCTCACAGAAGCTGGACAATACACAAAAGGAAACAATGACTAGAAGGGAAAAATGTCACTGCCAGTACTCTTAATATATTACTCAATAAAAATTAAAAAATTCCACTATATATATCTGAGTAATTTTATCAACTGTAGCATACTCCATTAATAGACTTTTCTTCAAAAAACCAGCTATTTAGAAATGTAGAATGTGTTAAGAGTCTAACAAAAAAAAATTTTAAGTCTCTTAAGTACTTGAGGAAATGAATCTTTTCTGTGGAATGACTTTGAATTCAGTGTTATCAGTACTTTAGCATAGTAAAATCAAACTGTATAGTATCTTTAAAAAAAAGAAGAAACCACTGAGTATTATCTTCATGAAAAAAGTTAGATATCTGAGATGGGAGTACAGCACTCACTAATTCAGAAAAGATGACTAACGCCACCAAAGCACAAATCTGAGAAATAAGAAACAACTTCTAAGACAGTTTAGCCCATAACTAGCCAATGATACATATTACTTCAATAGTCATGTTAAACAAAAAATAAATCTCACTTTACAAGAATAACAGTTACTATTACTACTTTAGAAAAGAGACTACCAATTTTTGAATAGCATTCTTGCAACACCTTCAACTTACCCCCAAACCTCAATCAAGCTTCCTAAGAAGAATCAGCACAATGCATTCCATACGTACAAAGTAAACACTTGATGGATATTGTTAGTGATAGTAATAGTGAAAAAAAAAAAAAAACAGCTGGAAAAGTTCTATTACTTAACTAACAAACATAAATATAAATATGCTTTAGTTATGTTTAACATTCCACGATCACCAGAAAATTGTATGTGATAATTTAAATACCAAATTTTCAAGACATTAGATCAAATGACTTAAATAATTTTCTGAGAATCTAGGTAGAATGTAAAACAAAGTTCATTTTTCTCTCAACACGATACTTAAATACTGTAGTGAGGTAGGGTCTGTTTACTCTCGAATGCAGTAATGAGGTAAAAAGGACGATGCCACAGAAAAGAACAGTGTTAAGGGTTAAGGTGTCCACTGATGTGCCACACAAGTTTATGCTGTGGTTACACGTGGTGCCAACCTAGCAAAAGGGCTGAGACACTGAAAAACTGTATCACGAGAACCAACTATTTAAATCATAGAGTGATTTAAAGTGATTCATAAGAGCCTTAAAAGTGAAGAGGGAAGGAGCAAATGCTTCATGAATTTTTAATTTCTAAAACATTATTACCAATGCAAATTTACAATACCAAAAAAAAATAGCCCTTTTTTTCAATATGACGCACCTTAATTTTTAAGATCAACTATTACTAAACTTCAAAATTCCCAAGAAACTCTTTTAAGCATCTACCTAGCCCTCAGATAGAAGTAGAGTCACACCTCGGTACTCGTCGGTTCAAAACTCATCAAACCCTGGACTCGTCACATTTTGACAAGAAGAAAATGTTTCAGCACTCTGCACTTGCTCAGGACTCATCTCACTTGCTAGAACTTGAGTGAGTCATGACGTCACCACACCAGAGACAATGCTTCATCATTTGGTAATCAGTAATCATGGGTTTTGACACTCGTCACAAGTTTTGGAACGAATTAACAAGTACCAAGGTACCACTGTAATATACTTATAACCACATAAAATAATGTCTCCCAAAGGTAGCCAATTGAATTTGTCATTAAAGACCCCTGAGAACCTCTGAGGAAGTATGGCAAAGTAGCACAGCTACCTGAATACCCTAAACAAGGGCCTTCAACCTCAGCACTACTGATATTTTGGGCAGAATAATTCTTCAATGTAGGGGCATTATTATAGGATGTTCATTGAGCAGCTTCCCTGGAATATATTCACTAGATGACAGCAGCATTCCCACTGCCCACCCACCCAGCTGTGATGACCGAACATATCTTGAGGCATTTCCAAATGCCCCCTGGAGGACAATCCACCCCAACTGAAAAATTAGTGCCTTAAATAAAAATACCATTAGGGAGGATGGTTCTCTTGAACTGAAATTTCAAGGCCACTCATAGCACAACATAAGAGAAGAAAATACCAGCCTAAATAGCTCAGGTAAATGTTGAATTAACTCTAGTAATGAATGGGTAAGAGGTAAAAAGCCAGGGCTCCCTACATCTCACTGAGGATGTTTTTCAGGCCATTCTAGCACTCCACTTTAAAATTTATGGTCTTGTGCTTTATGCTTTCTTTATATAATCAAAGAAATCTGAAGGATGAACAGTTAGTGGCACCCTTAAACCAATGAACACACGAGTCAAAGATACATCCTACAAGGAATAGTATTCAAAAATATTCTAGAACAGCAAATGAGCAAATTTTGTCCAAAGAATTAAAAAATCAAAACTTACTGAAAGAGATGCTGATAAATATCTCACTTTCTTTATGATCTATATTCACTGTGAAGCTTCCCTATTGTTTTAACTCAGAAAACAATAAAAATCACTTAGGAGTCCTTGACCTTATAAACCATTCCCAAAGAAAACATTTGCTAACTGCCAACATGTTACAATCTTTGGAAGGTAGCTTTACAATGACGGCAATCATGGGCAAAAATTAAGCATCAAAGGAATACAAGAAAGAAAAAAGACTAATTACAAAAAGAAAAATGTGGAAAAGGACTGTTATTGCACAGAGTGCTCTTCCATGTTCTAAAGAAGAAAATTTGTTTTATCCACCGAAAAATCAACTTTGGGCATCCACCACACAACTCTACCTGGAAATGGGGTTAAAAAATTTTGACTCCCACTAATATAAGTGCCTAAGCAAGGATGCCCTCACGGTGTGAATCCAATTATACCAGTCGCCTTTGGAAATGTCTCCATAATCCACTATTATAATCTCATCCTTTTTAAATGACCAAGAGACTTTTTATTCACTTTTAAACATTGCTGCTAAAAGTAAAACTTTCGAAGTGACAGAGAACTGAAAAACAGCTTAGAATGAAAAGATACCTTTAACCACAGTAATATAATAGCTACCATGATATGTTAAAATCTAGAACTTACCCCAATGGCAGAAATCAGAAGAAACCACAAAGAGATTACTAGGATCCGCTAGATATTTACTGAAGAGTTTTCCGAATTCCTGTTCTTTTGACTCACTCAGAGCTCCAACCAGTACAGGAATAATGGTAAACTCATCCTTATGGCTTAAAGAAAACAGAAAAAAAAGTCACTTAAGAAGTATAAGAATAAAAATAGTTTCCAATTTGCACTAAAAAGTGGAACATTTATTAATAGTGGTAAAGATAACACATAATATTGTTGAATTCTTAAAATATGTACATTAAATGTTTAAGGAAGACCATTTAAAATGAGAGGTACAAGAGGTACAGAATACTCAAAATATCCATTTAATTACAGAAATGTACGATACTTCCCTAGATAAACAAAACTATTTTACTACCAAGTAGAGTAAGATCACCAGACCATCACCAAGTCATGTTTTCTCAACTACCCATCAAAGCTAGAATCACCTGCCCAATCCTTCTGCAATTTAAAAAGAACATTAAACTCTTCCTCATCTATTTTAATCCCATCCTATTATTAATATACCATCATTTCTGGCACTTGTTCTATAAACTTGCCAAGTGAGACCTACAACACTTAATATTGGCTCCCATAAAATTCACCAACTACACTTCCACCTATACTAATAAACAGATACAGGATAGGCTGAAAATACAACTCAAATTTTTCTGGCGTCTAGGGTGAATATACAATTCAAGGAAGTAGGTATTATTTTCTAGCAGCAAGAGACACCATGGCCACCCACAATGTTTATGGCATATCCACAAGTCCCTTTTTCACTCTACAGATTGACAGATTTATGGAAAAGGAACAGCACAGATTAATAAAGAAGAACTATGATGGGCTATAGAAATAGACGTTTATCCAAACCCTTTTAAAATTTTCATTATAGTGAAATTTTACTTACATATATTTGATATTATTTATATTCTAAATGATCCCAGATTTGTAATTTTAGAAGCATGAAATCATGTTTGTCTAACTTGTTCTGAACAGGACTTAAGGAAAGGAAAAAATCACCATTACAATAAATTCTTTTTAATATGACAATCTGACACTGATGTAGGGCAAACAGAATTCATAAAAGGGTTCTTTAAAGTACTAAGTTTAAGTAGTCCCAAAAATAAATGTTAGCCCAGCTTCATGAAGCTAAATTCGGGGCACCCAAGCGCCTCCCCCATAAAAGCCCCCTTACCCTTGTCAATTGCGAAATAAACAGATCATACAGATCTCCAGTCCCTCTGCAATGCAGGGGCTCCTTGGGCAGAATCTGCATCTATGGAGTAAGAAAAAAAGAGGAAGCTGGCAGAGGAAGCTGCCTTGGAATAGTTCTTTCTCTGACTCTTACCAATTTGCTTAACAACTGCATGAGTGAATAGGGGCTCTTCAATAAATTAAGAGTGATTATCATTTCATAAAAGAGAATCTGACCTCTAGCAAAAGTTCAAGAAGATTGTTATGACCTTTTCTAACTTCAAATACCACCTACATAAATAAATACACTAAGATCATCAAAGAGTTTGCAAGTAATTATGACATGGCAGCAAAGCAGTTTTATAGAATATAAAAAACAAGAAGTCAGAAGAAATGGGTTCAAGGGCTATCTCCATCACATACCAATGTTAATAGCATGGCTAACTCACTACCCTAACAATTTCCTGATCTGCAAAATGATCATAATTACAGTGTCTATTTCATAAAACTGTTACAAAGTGAGGAATACTATAGAAGTACTCTGTCAATAACAGTTGGCTCACTCTAAAGAAACAGGTCTTCCTTTCACAAAAGTCACCAAACTGTTCCATTTAACCTGTTTGAGTTTGCAAATTGATCTATACAGAGATAAAAGTCTCATACTAAGAACTCTAAGCTTTGATTCAAGATTCATCCATCCACTTCTTTGTCATTCTCCTTTTTAAACAATTACTTACTGTTCTCTATCCCCACAAAGCATAAAGTAGAAAAAGGATCATTAGACTTTGATATGTAATAATCCTAGGTTTTAGAATCAAGTTTTTAAGTTGGTCTTCCCTAGTGAAGGAATATGAAAAACAATTTATAAAACTGAATAAACTGTCAAAGACAACCATTTTGTGCTCTAAAAATCAACTAAAAACAAGAAAAACAAAGATCAGAGTGTATTCAATGAAAATGATTGAATTTCTTGGGAAGAACAGTGGAAGCCCAGCATCTGAGGAGCTGTCTCCATCCCCCTGTTCTATTCCACCAACATGGTAGTTCCAGCAAGGTTAAGGATGGCTGTGAAAACCAGCACTCCACTGCTGCAGGGGGGCTGACTTTGACTTAAAGCAAAGAGCAGAAAACCCACACCCACCAGGAAGCAGAAAGGCACGCAACTCTTGCAGCCTGAGGTTATTGTACCACTTGAGGCAAGCCACAACTCTGAGGTCTATTTCGAAATGTAACAGGAAGATCCTGGAAAGGAGAGAGTCACAGCGAACTTGATAAAGTCACACATTCTGAGGAGATGATTGATGCCCTCCACACAACCCTGGCTAGGAGGCACTCCAAAGCTCCCCAAGAGTGCCAGTTAGGAGGGTAGGAGCATGTCCAAGGAGAAGTAGAGACCTGAGAGAGACGAAGCTCTCACACATCCGTGGCTGAGGTGAAATCTGTATGCATGCAATGGACATGATGACCAGAGAAGACCCAACAGGAAGTAAAAGACGCAAACTTTAATACGGCCCAAACTTTGCGTGTGTCACCCAAAACCTACACAATCTACCAGCAGATGGTTAGAGTTAGAGTTAGGGCTCCAGGCTCCAGGTATTCAAGCACAACTGCCAATGACTCCTTAGCTAAGCACTAAGCAAACCAGACACAGGGACACACTCTAGGAAGCCAAGGTAAAAATATAAGTTGTGAATTTTTAAAAAACTGAGGTGATACATCAGTAGCTATATACTGTGGTAGAGGGGTTCTGCAGTAAAAATCCATGAAAGTTACTTTTTAAAAAAAATGAGTAAATGAAAGAAACTTCCAACACTACCACCTCCTACAGAAAAAAATTAACAGAATCAGAATCAAGTTGCTATAATGTACTAAGTAAAAATTCTACCTTTTAATATTTTATCGATTATGCTATTACAGTTGCCCCAATTCTTCCCCCTTTGCCTCCCTCCACCCACTCCCTCCCAGCAATTATGTCCATGGAACATGCATATAAGTTCTTCAGCAACTCCATCTCCTAAACTGTTCTAAACATCCTCCTGACTATTCTATTAATACCAACGTGTACTTCTTAATCCCTTCACCTTTTCCCTCATTCCCCAAATCCCCCTCCCACCTGGCAACCATCCAAATGTTCTCCATATCTGATTCTGTTTCTGTTCTGCTTGTTTGCTTTGTTGTTTAGATTCAATTGGTGACAGATATGTATTTATTGCCATTTTGTTGTTCATAGTTTTGACCTTCTTTTTCTTAGTAAGTCCCTTTAACATTTCATGTAATTAATGGTTTGGTGATGATGAACTCCTTCAGCTTTACCTTGTCTGGGAAGCACTTTATCTGCCTTTCAATTCTAAATGATAGCTTTGCTGGACAGAGTCATCTTAGCTGTAGGTTCTTGCTTTTCATCCCTTTGAGTACTTCTTACCAGTCCCTTCTAGCCTGCCAAGTTTCTTTTGAGAAATCAATTGACAGTCTTACGGGAACTCCCCTATAGGTAACTCTCTGTTTTTCTATTGCTGCTTTTAACATTGTCTCTTTATCTTTAACCTTTGGCATTTTAATTATGATGTGTCTTAGTATGTTCCTCTTTGGGTCCAACTTGTTTGGGACTCTCTGTGCTTCCTGGATATGCATGTCTATTTCCTTCACCAAATTAGAAAAGTTTTCTTTCACTATTTTTTTCAAATAGTTTTCTAATTTTTTGCTCTTTCTCTTCTCCTTCCTGCTCCCCTATGATACAAATGTTGTACGCTTGAAGTTGTCCCTGATGCTCTTTACCCTATCCTTGCTGGTTGTTTGTTTGTTTGTTTAGTTCTTTTTTCTTCTCACTGTTCTGATTGGATGTATTTTTCTTCCTTATGTTCCAAATTATTGACTTGATTCTCATTTTCATCTACTCCACTGCTGATTCCCTACAAATCATTCATTATTTCAATTAGTATATCCTTCATTTCCAACTGGATCATTTTTATGCTGTTGAAACATCCCCTGAGTTCCTTGAGCACCATTATGACCAGTGTTTTGAACTCTGTACATGACAGATTCTTTAACTCCATACTGTTTGGCTCTTTTTCTAGAGTTTTCTTCTATTCTTTCATTTGGGCAATATTTCTGTCTCCGCATTTTGGCAGCCTCTGTATGTTTGTTTCTAGGTATTAGGTAGAGCTGCTTTGACTCCCTCTCTTGGTAGCATGGCCTAATGTGGTAGGTGTCCTGGAGGGTCCAGTGGCTCAGCCTTCCCTATTACCCAAGCTGGATACTTCAAGTGCAGCCTCCATGTCAGCTGACTATTCTCTCCTCTTGTAGCTGAGTCTTGATTGCTGCCAGCAAGTTAATAGGATGGATTTACCCAAACCAATAAGCTGGTAGGACTGGCTGTGAACTACCTCCATCTGTGGCTTGTGGAGGTGGCTGGATGGTGGCGCTCCAACATGGTCTGTAACTGTTTGCTGGGTGTGCAGGCTCTTGGGTTTCCTGGGTGGTACAGGCCAACATCAGCCACCACCTGTGCTTTGATGGAACCACTTGGCATAAGCTATAAAGCACAGGTGCCAACCACAAGGACAGCAGGCCAAATCCGGCCCTCCACCTTGTTGTATCCAGTCCAGCATCTTGTTTCTACCCAGCGACAGTGCCGAGCTCTCACTTAACTGTTGAGTAGTTACATTTCTACAGTCCTAAAACTACATTTGGCCCTTTGAAGGCAATGGAGAGGCTGATACAGCCCCCGGTGAAAATGAGTTTGACACCCCGCCTATAAAGCACTCTGCAGATGGCTGCTGCTGGTGCTGGGCCTAGGAAATTTGAGAATTGAGGGTACAATAATTGAAATTGAAAGAGTCACTAGATGGTCTGAAGAGCAGATTCAATATTACATAATGAATCAGAGATAATAAAGATAAAATAAATTTTGCTGTCTGAAGAAGAG